TCACTATTATATCAGTTATAAGCATATTTTTCCTAATGATTTTAAATTTTCAGTTACCCTTGTGGAGGTATTTGCCATTCTGTGGAATGGCACAGTGTTTGGCTTGCTAAAAGTTTCTCTAATGTTTTGTATGACTGTCATCTCAGTTATGGTACTTTCTACTTCTTCAAGGAAGTTGGCATTCAGAAGGTAGTAGAAGGGGTGGGCTATGACTCTATCTTTGGCTACTGGTCGTTGTGGTTTACCCACCTTAGCCCGCCTGCTGCAGTCTACATCTTTCGCTAAAATCTAAGAGTTCTGAAAGATTCTGAAGTGTTGTTTATTGTCTTCTGAGATACCTTTGCCTAAAAGGTTTTCAGGGACATAACATTTGGTAGGTACTTTGCATTTATTTCTCTCAGCCTAGTTCTTTACTCACCAAGCCTAATCTTGAAGACAGTATTCTCTATTGGAGCCACTCAGAAATTTGGATACAGAAATGCTTCAAGTCTAAAGCATGAATTCTTTTGCAGGAGATTAAGAATTATTTTTCTAAATCCATCATGGTGAGGAGAGATTAAATCCATATTTCTTAGATAGTCACTATACTGATCTATAGCATGCTGATATGCTAATATGTGGTGCCTCTTAGATAACATTGTTTCCTATGTTCTTATATATGGCTAGATGTTAGGAGGAATATTATCCTAATTCAGTAACTGGATACATAGTTTTTTTAATAATATAGGGATATATGCCCCTCATTGACAAGAATTCTGAGGTTTCAGTTCAATATGCCTTCACAGAAAAACTCTGAGTTACTGCTGGAGGAAATACGTCTAACTTTAGAAGTTGTAAAATGACTCAATGAAAGTAAAGGCAATAGTATAAGACTGTCTATTATGACAGTCAGAGGTAAATCTATTACAAAGTTCCTGTACAGAAATGACTGAGCTAGTTGGGTTCTTGTGTACATATTTTCTGGGGAAAATGCTTTGGTGCAACCAGGGCAACAATTTTATGAACTTTATAATCCAAAGATGGTGTGAAATAAATAATTTCAATTTGCCTTGTGTTTTAATACATGGTGCAAATGGGCACAGGGCCTAGAATTTCCAGCTTCAGTATAGCACAAGGTTTTGCTGTGGGAAATGCAGATACATATGAGATGACAACATATGCTTCCCCTGATTTTTAGTGGACAGGAGAATGCATTGGGAGAATTAGCTGCCGGATAGTTGATGCATGATATGATATTCCTGTGTTCATGCTCAAAGCTGGTGTATTAGTAACAGTAGAATAATAATGCTCTTTCTGTCCTGGAGTTTGTTACGGGACCTGTGATGCACTTTGGGATTGACAGTCCAGCCATCTACAAGTTCCCTGGCCTAGACCAACTGATCCTGAGAATGTTTTTTGCCAAATTAGTTGGAGTTGCATTGGGGATGTCTTAGTGTGTCTAAGGCTCTGTATGTCAAATCCATAAGGCTTTGTTTGACGTGTAGGAAAACTGGCTGTTGGGAGCTCTGTGGCCATCTTCTGGATGTTTAGGAAAATGCATAAGCTATTTGTTCCCGTTGAGCTGAATAATGGTAGTCTGGCATATATTAAAGTAGTATTGTATTTTCTTATGAGTAGGTACACGTTGCACTATGTACACATACAACAATGTATGTTATGCATTTAGAAAAATGTAAGTGTTAAAAAAATCTCAACTAATTTTTATTTTGCCTTACCTCTTCCAAAAATAATTTAAAGGCCACAAATGAAAGCAGGATTCTGAAGTTTCAGAACTCTAATTCTTATTAGAACACTTTTTCTACAGTTTCAGATGTGTATAGCATATGAAGATATTGCAAGTTTTTAAGCTACTGTAAAGATGATCAGGAGTAATAGAGCAAGCAGGGATTTTATGATGTGCCATTTCAAAAAGACCTGAACTTGTGTCCTGCTTACTGTTTTGCAAATTAATTTTATGCTGTTGAATCAAGAGCATCAAAATCTAAAAATCACTCTTCAAAGAGATTTAGATTTCCACTTCAGTGAGTGGAAAGGCGTTAGGTACCTGAATTAATTGTATTTGTTGCAGGAGAGCAGCAACAAATAAAACTCTTCTGCTAACAACTGCATATGAAAAAGCTAGGCATTTTTAAGACTCAATAATTATTATTAATAGTGTTCTTTTTTTTTTTTTTTGGAAGTTCACTTCCTGGTAAGCTAGAAATTAAGTAGAATGTCCTAAGCAGAAAGTCTTTTCATTACTGTGGAGGATAATCATTCTACACTCTGAAGGGATTTTGTTTCATTAGAACATGGTGTGGATACATTTTGGGAGAGGCTTTTTCATCAAAGGAAATGCTATAATGATGTGATTTTCATAATCTTTATTTCTCCATTCTTACTATTGTGCTTTGGCAGATTGCTCTAGGGGTAGAAGACTGGGAACAGAAATCTAAGATAACCTTATAAAGAATGATTTTAATAATCCATGCTAATTTTTTTTTAAAAAAAGGCATGACAAACAACTGGTTTAATATTTTAGGTATAAAAAAGCCGTAAGGTACATGGTTAATACAGTGTGATATGCTTCTGGGTGATCTGCTTAATGTAGGCATGATAATAGTAATTAAAGTATAATAAGTAGTAATAAGTTCCATTGTTATTACATTGTCCGGTTGTCATGTTTCATTTACTGGTAGTGTGCCAGACCTTTCTTGAAATCAGTGAGTACCTTATTCTACCATTTCTCTTAAAAACTCAAGCTATTACCAAGATGACATGCTTATCTAAGAAATACAGTTAGTTTTGGTGTTTGCAATTTGATGAAGAAGAAATTTGAGGCATTCTGATCAATTAAATTACTCAGCTTTGTCTTCTCTAAATTCAGACTAAATTCTGGAGAACTGATGGGACATTTTTTTATAAAGAACTTCACTAAAAAACATGCCTTTATGGATATTTTTTCAATTTTATGTGCTTATATGTAATTAAAACAGAGAAGTTAGTAGAGCTTTTTGTGTGAGACATGTAATTGAATGTACAGCATTTCCCATGTGCTATTTGGTACTTTCAGTACTCATCTTTGATTAGCAACATAAGCAGTTGAAGAGAATAAACATTTGGCATTTTTTTGAAATGGAGTCTTGGAAATTACAGGGTTACCTTTTCTAGTTTCTTCTGCCATATTTGAAAATAACTATTTTTTAAGAGTAAGTCAGCATAGGAGAAAATTGCTCTTGTGTCCAGTCTCAGGTTTGAATGACTCATTCACAGAGCATGTGTGAAAGCGGAAGAAAAGGTGACCAACCTCCAATCTGAGGAAATAAGCCCATATTAAAAAAAAACCCCACAAACTGTCGTAACATTATGGGAAATTGTGGAGAAAAGGCAGTTTGTCTGTTTAGAGAGAGCATTTGTCATTGTAAAAGGAATTGACCTTGGTTATGCAAAATATGTCCAATGTGATGGTTGGTGGAAATCAGGTTTTCAAAGCTGAAGTAAAGAGGACCTTGAAGTATGTCTTTACTACCTCCAAGATTGCAGTTATCTTCTCTCTAGTAAATGTCCAGTGGGAATTGAAGTAATTCATAACACAATAACGTCCTGTTGAATGATTCAGGTTGGTGCAACCTGCTGATTATACTGTATAGACATCATTGTGGTGTCTGGGCTAGAAAAAAGTATGAAGTTATTAAAATGTGTTAGTTGTGAGGGATAGAAGGGTTAGAAAAAATGGATATTTTTCAATATGATCTACTTTAGAACTATTGAAAATATTAGAATATTTAGAATATATTCTGTTAACACTTGGCATATTTTCTTATGTGTTGATGAGATCTTAAATGTATAATTGCAGTCCTAGTACTTCACTCTGTTTAAAACAAAATCAGTACATGGTAGTCATCTAAACTGAGAATAACAGAGTGTTAATGATTAGAAGTACAGTTAAAAAATCCAAAGAATTTGTGTAGTTACAGTATACCAAATAATAAGAAATGAAAATGTCATGGAAATAAATGAGCTTATACTGCTGCAATCTTTAGAGTGATTTTAGAAAGAATAACTCTCCACTCAGCATTTACTACATATTTTGCAGTATCCTCCCTTGCGTTCCTTGGAAGGAGTTGTTTTGATATCATGATGTGAATTGGAAAACAACTTTCAAGTGTGTATTCTTTCCATGCATATATACTTCTCCACATTATATTCACCACCAGCAGATGCTGGTCTTTGGTGTTTGGATTGATGTTCAAACCTGGAAATGTTTCTTACCCTGTTCCTCATAGGAACCTGGGAAATACTTTGCCCCATGTGATATCGCTGAGGCAAGTAGATGTGTTAAAAATTCTGAAACCAGCTGTACATTTTTACTGTGCTACAGAATACTCATAATTAAAAACATTAGATGATGTGTCAGAAACAAGCTTAGGAAAGCCTCAGGCAGGCATCAGCAGAAAGGACAAGAGCAAATAAACAAGCTCTTGTACAGAGGATTTACCAAAACTGTTTCGCATTCTACTGTGAAATTTTACTTTGAGATTTTCTTCTCTTTAAATTCCATCTGTTTTCATAGAATCATTTCCGCACTGAACCATGGAGAATAAGAGTCATGTCCATGTTGCCTTGTAATTGCAGCATGATGTTATGCATGCTGGTCAGGGTGAGATTTGCATAATAATGTGTCCATAGGTAAATGTTATGTTGCTAGTTTAATTTTAGAAAGCAGGTAGGGTATACTTAAGCTTGCTGTCACTTTGGTGGCACAACTGCTGTTTTAATTTTCATAGTTTTTTGAAAATTCAGTTTGATACTACTGCAGCTGAGGAAAGTTAAGAGTGTGGTTTCCAGGCAATTTCAGTAATGGAAAAAAGTATTATACATTGTGTGGTGCAACAGTGTGAAGAGAACAATCCACAAACTTTTCAGATTAAACCTTACTTTTACTTACTATAGTAAAGCACATTTGTAGAAAAAATGTTTCTGAATTATTATTACTTTTTTTTAATCTGTTTTGTTTCCAGGCATTGCTATTTCTGATGAACATGATAAGGTAAGATTTACTGTATGCCCAATGAACGATATAAAAAGGCAGATGATTGTGATAATTTTAGGCAATGAGTGCTGCGTCTCCCTCTTCTGCCATACGCTCTTCAGTTCTGTTGTGTTCAGAGGATATTTGTGTATGGAAAGCTACATGGGTAAGTACAGTATATGTTGATACGTTAAGAGCTTGATCCACAATGGGCTGTCAATGATGGAAAAAAAAATATCTCACTGAATTTAAGAGACTCTCAGTAAAGCCATGGAAAAATGCTTTTGATTTTGATACTATCTTTGCTTAATATAGTATGTTGAGTTACTTTCTGTACTTTTGGAAACATTTAACTTTACCTTATATTCATAAAGTCATGAATTTGGCATTCTCAGATATGATTTGTGAGAATATTTAGGAATAATTTTTGCTCTCAGGTTTGGTACGAATGCACAGGACATAAAGAGAAGTCTTTATTTCCTTGCTGAATGTGACAAGCAATGATACCTTCTGTTTCGGCCCTTTTGAAACATTACACAGTTAACATGAATTTTAGGTTTAGAATTCTATGAATTCTATGCTGAAAGAATAATCAAGTTAATTTTTCAAAGTTCCAGAGGAAACAGTACACCTTTATTTTCCTTATTCTCAACACTGAACAGCAGTACACTTCTAGTGCCAAGCATTTTGCGTTTTGTTCTTGGAGTCAGAAACCATTACTTTTGGGGAAATAAGATCAAAAGGTATATAAGACACAGGAATAATGCCTAGCATAGGGGACATATTTCCTTTCATCCAGTAAAATGAGGACATGAACCTTTCTGAAACAAGTACGTATAAAAGACCTCCACTAGGTTCTCCAAAAAAGGCCAATTAGACAAGACCGATCGCAGTTACCGTGTAGCCACATGCATGTCTGTTAGGGCTGGGCTGGCCACTAAATGCTGACAGCTGCTCTCTAACCACTCTCTCTCCCCATATGGGAAAGGAAGGGGAATAAGGCAGAGAGACTTACGAATTGGAAAAGAAAACTAACACAACTTTAAGAAACAGTAATAGTACTTATAAGGAAATAATGAAATATATACAAAACCAATATTGAACCCAACTCCCCCATTTCCTGATGCCAATCACCACTGGTGCTGCAGAGCAGGTGGCACTGGGGAAGTCCTAATCTCAGCAGGAGGGAGGAACTGGACGCAGGAGCTGGATTCAGGAACTCAGGATTGAGATTAGAACCATTAGAGCAAGAGGGCTTAACACCTGTGATCCCTCAGATTTATACTCATTTATGATATATATGGAATGGAATACTTTTGTTGGGCACCTGTCCTGTACCTTCCTCACTGGAAGTTCCACCTTTTACTTTCCTGTGATCCTTTCACTGTATGACAGCCCGAATGTGTTACACAAGATTTAGCAGTGACCTTGGTCACTATAGGAGCTGATATAAGCAAGAGCCTTTCTTACCAGTCCCATGCAGTATCTATAAACATCAGGCTTTATCACTTCTAGTAGCAGACACCGTCTGCAAAAACGTGCTGTTAATTTCAGAAAGTGCAGCCTCTTAAGAAGAGACTGAGCTGGAAAGTAAAATAACTGAACAGAATTGCTTCTGTTTAGCTCAAACCAGGACAATATGGGACTGCTATTTCAAAAATATGGCCTTTACTTACCATTTTGCCCTTGATCTTGTTTTACATCATTGTTCATATTAAGATTATAACAGTATCTGTCTGCCTTCCTACTGTTTCCTTAACTGTGCTCAGAAGTAATGAAAAATACATTTAGAAAGTGCTTCCATTAGAACCGTTATGTCTAATACTTATGAAGAATTCCTTCTTGGTTTTGTTTGCTTTAAAAAAAAGCTATGAAATACTGTTTGTGTGAGGAAGAAGACGTTTTGGTCCAGAGCCAGTTTTCATGTACATTTTTTATATATGGATATTTTTAGGAGATACTTCTGTGTTATTTTTTTTAAAGAATGATAGGTTAATGTTGTGAAAATTGAGATGGGAAACATCACTGGGGAATTTCCTCAGGATCCAGTCTGAGTGAAGAGTTCAGTTTCTTTTATGTTACCATATAATTTATGATTTAAAATTGGAAGATTGTGGGGTTTTTTAAGTAAAACTTTGCACTGTTATGTGCATTCAATAGCATACATTACCTGACACCTTTACAATACTGCGTTTGCCTTTTTTTTTTTGCTTCTGATGAAGTCAAATAAATTGAATGTTCTCAAAATCAAAAGTTATTTGTAAAATAGGTAAAAGCACAAACAATAAGGCTCTTAGCATGCGTCCTTTGTGCAGCATTGCTCAGTGGACTTTCAGGATAGATTTACAGAAAGGCACAATTCTTTGTCCCTGTGGGCTTTAGTGAACTTCATTTCTATTTCTTTTGCCCCTTACGAATTTTTAATAGACGTAAAAGGTAATTCTGTGTTAAGAAATCAAGCACAGCCAGGACTGTTCTGTGAAATCCTGTGTCTCTAGGAATGATCCTTTACGTGAGCTAATTTCTGAAATATTCATGTGACTTGTTTCTAAGTGTTTAATTTGGCTTGGGCCACAACCAACAGGTAGTGATTTAACATTAGACAGAATTTGGTTCCATTTCACACGACCATGTTCCCAGGCAATGTTTATTTTACAGGTACAAATTATAGTCAAGTTCATTGTAATTCCTTTTTCAGAAATATATACTAATACTACAGCTTCCTTCTGTAGGCTGTAACAGCACTGAATGATTTTTCAAACCACATTCACCTATGGTTTGAGTTAACCACTTAACCCTTCAGGTGCATGTCAGGGTCTAGAACAGCGTGCCCAAATTTGGCATTGGGTTCTGTTAGAACAGTGGCATTATATAGATGTCCTGAGAGACATAACACTAAACTCAGCAAGGAATTCTTCTATACGCATTTCCTTGCTTTGTCTTCCTGATGATCAGGAACATTCTTGGGAATTAGGATAGAGCCTGTAATCCTGCTGTTTTGTCTGTGATTTAGATTAAGAATCAATAGAAAATCAAGAATACATGTGCATGTTTATTGATTTCTGTTTCTAGTTATGTAAGGTTTTTTTTAAAAAAAATATTTATTTATGGCTGCAGTAACCTCTAGCTGCCTTTGTCAGGGGAGTACTCAGTATTGTTGGTTGATGTAACTCCTCTCCCAAGTAATCCAGTTAATTAGTTAGTTGCTTAGTTACTCAAGCATTTCGATTTGGAAAAACAGTTTGCTCTGAATTACAATCACTTTTGTGGAAGGGTGTTTCATTTAAATGGATTCTTGTCAAATATCTGCTATTTTTAGCTTTGTGCCAGTACTTAGGGCTTCAGTCCAAGACAAAGGTAGAGAAAATACAGACAGACAAGGTCAGTCTTCTAGTCAAAATGGAAACTTTCAGTGTGACGCAGTCTAATATTTCTGAGTTCACTGGGATTATTGTCAAAAAAATCCCAAGATTACTGCAGTTAAAATAGATTTATTAAATGAATTATCTCCTTTATAATCTAATTTACTTCAGACTTGCAGAGTATGGTGTTCTGTCTCTTCATGAGCCCGTGTCTATAGGCTATGGGAGCTATGTAGAATGAGCAACTGGCTCTGCAAGTGTGGCGTGTAAGGAAAGAAATTAAGAAGGGGTGCCTTGTGACTCACAGATTTTAAGGCTAAAGTGCAGAGTTAATACAATACAAATATCTGAATTGACTCACCCTTATTACCACTGAACGAGAACTATACATGAAAGTGTACAGTTTCCTAAAGCTTCTCAATAATGTGAAGAATTTAACATAAACAAAGAAGTTGAGCTAGAATGTTAGTCTTCCTGCAAAATTCACAGAGTTCTAGGCTGATTAAACTGAATTAATCATGAGTTTCTGAGCTTTTTCCCAAGTCCATTGGGACACTTCCCTGAGAAGTGGAAGTTCAAATATGCACAGAAGTATAAGAACAGCCAGCTGAATGCTCTAACTATGAGGCTACTGATGATGTGCCTTTTCTAGAATTTGCTGCTACTGGAAGACTCTGCTTGTCTATATGTCACAAAATAAATTGTAATATGTGTCTGCATTGTAAGGTACATTGAGGCAAAGTATAGTCAGGGTGCTGCAGTGCAGAAATATGTTTTAAACGGTTTTGTATGGTTGTACCCGTTTCAGCAATGTTTCTGGATCAGTCTGTGCACAAAAAGGAATCACACCCTTTACCTTTTGCCACTTTTGGAGACTAAGATACTGTCACTTTTAGGGGTAGGTTTATTCATCTTCTGGCTTTTGATTCTCTAAAGAACACTTAGTGAATGTTTTTCAAGATTTTTTGATTTAAAATTTTTTTTACTGCACTTACAGAGAATAGAAACGTTTTATTTTAAAATAAATTACATTTTCACTAATCCCATTATCTGATGTATTGGTACTTTACTTAAAATTCAAGTACTGGAGTTCTCACAGGTAATGTGAGATCTGTCATAACATTGTGAGATTTTTCCAAGATTGTCCAGAACAATATCTCTCAGTTACTTTAAACATTAATAATGGGAGACATCTAAGTGTTAGAGATCCAGAATCAGACTTGAGTGAAGATGATCTAATAATTTGTAACAGATTTTGACCCTCAGCACAAGAAAGACCTGGACTTTTTGGAGTGGATTTGGAGGGGGGCCACAGAAATTATCAGAGGAGTGGAACACCTCTCCTATGAAGACAGGCTAAGAGAGTTGAGGTTCAGCCTGGAGAAGAGAATGATCTGGGAAAACCTTGTTGCAGCCTTTCATTACTTAACGGGGCCCTATAAGAAAGTTGGGGACAGACTTTGTAGCAATGCCTGTTGTGATAGGATGAGGGCTAATGATTTTAAACTGAAAGAGGGTAGATTTAGACTAGATATAAGGAAGAATTTTTTTACAATGAGGATGGTGAAACATTGGAACAGGTTGCTTAGAGAGGTGGAAGAAGCCCCTTCCATCCCAAAACATTCTCTGATTCTGTGTTAATATTTAAACATTTTTTCCTATGCTGTGTCTAGGGTGTACTTTCTTCTTGTATGTAGTTTTACTACAATAAACACAGGTTATAATTAATAAAATAGAAATAACTAAGTCATAAAAATAAACAAATTTATTCTGACCCCAAAGTATTTCTCTCTATGAAGATTCCCTTAAAATCAGAAATTAGAAATACTGAGCTTTTAAAAGTATGCTTAAATAAATAGATACTCAAAGGTTGTTGTGTTCCCTGGTAGGGGTTCCATACTGCAGCCACATGTCAGCCCAATATGAAGGTGAGATTCAGCAGTCCTCCAGTCTTTTCCTTCTTCTGGTTTCCACATAAAAGAAATTTGACTGTGTCATGGTGGTAGCCACTGATGTGGATGATCAGTGGATAATACATGGACTGTACCATAAAATAATTCTCTAGGTTAATTTGATGCAGATTTAAATACCTACATGTTCCGGAAATATTTCTGTGCACACTAATGTTACTGTCAATCTCTTCCATTATTTATGAGAGAATATAAATTGGAAATCAGCTAAGATACTAAGGTTTGTATTTAAAAAAAACAACCCAACCCAACAAACGTATAAAAATATGTTTGAAAACAGAATATTTCATTTGAATTTATTGAAACTTTTGAAAGAAGTTGCCAAATAAATGCCCTGTTGTTCTGAATAGAGCCGTCTCTGATTCTCCATTTACTGTTTTTGCTGTGACTACTTATATAGATGAAAGGAGGACAACAAATTTGGTCACTTAAACTCTGGTGTACTAATCTAACAAGATCCAAAAAGGAAAGGTGATAAAATGAGGCAAAGCATGACTATATAACGTAAATTACATTTCTGTTAAGTAATGTATGAAAGTGCTACTTTAATCCCTAGTCTAGAAAAAAAAAATCAGCATTACATGGATAGACACAGCATTCGTGGTTTACTTATTCATATGCTGATGGTGAAGTGTACAGTGTCAGGAAGAATGGTACTGAAAAGAGGGCAAATTTTTAGGTGCTTTTCGTGTAAGAGACTGAAAGCTTTTAGCAAGATTGACATTGCAAATTGTTACAAGTTTAACTAGCTCCAAGAACCATTTTTTTTAGATTGAAATTATCTTTAGGGAGAAAAGAAGGGAGAAAATGGATAGAGTAGCAGGCATAAACCTCAGAAGGGGCCAAAATAGTTCTTACTTAAAGAAGCTGATGTGAGCACCCTGTGTAATGAAGGCAGTGGAATAATCTTTTTCCCTAACTCATAGGCATATGATGGTAGTCACACCTGTGACAGGTTATGCCTGTCAAGTGACCAGAGGCCACTGTCACCTGGTCTGTATTACCTGACTATGAGACATCACTAGACAGATGCACAAAATACATATTTCTAAGTGCTTAAAAGAAAGACACCAGTGATTTTGTATTCTAAAACCTCTGAAGCTGTGGTGCTTTTCTCATATTTCTCTCTTCTGTACTGGCTACATTCCAGTTTCAGTGGTTCTGCTGTGTCACATGAACCTTAGAGAAAACAGACATTATGTAAAAAGTAAATCAGCCAGGTGATGGAGAACTCTGGAAAGACACACTGAGAGTGGCGTGTGGGAATGTGCTCACAGGCACATTGTGGAAAGCAGAACGAAAGACCGAGGGTGAATGAGTCTAATCCATGTCCCGGGTGACATTTGACTCTGTCAAAATGGGAGCTCTTGGAGTTCTGCTGAGTGACATTAGAGCATCAAGCCAAAGTCGGGTACATAACATTCATATGAAAGTGGTTTGCAGCCTTTTTTTCATTTATTTCTTCTCAGTAGAGGCTTCTACTTCAAACTGTGCTTTTACCACATGAGTGTAAATTGCGAAGAGACTTTAAAAGTGCTTTGTTTTTAGGAAGATGGGAAAATATGGTAGCTAGGCTGAGTAACCATTGTGCTGTACTTTTTCCAGATGCTCTTTTTTTGGAAATCGTTGTTTTGTGGCAGGAATATTTTTTGAGACACTGAGCCATGTAACAGCCCAGGATTTGTTTTCAAAAAATTTTCTCTTGTTAAAGAATAAGAATAGAGTATATCTCTGCTAATTAGGAACACTGTATTTGAAGTGTCTTTGCTAGACTAAAAAGGAGTTTAATTAAATCAAAATAAATATTCCTGTCACATCATTTCATACCTTTTTTTTGTATATGTGCATTTTTTTTAGTTTGACTATACTCTGCTACGTGACCCTTTATCTACAACTGTTCTAATAACATTGAGAACAGAGATACTCACCAATTCAGAACAGCTTTTTCATACAATTTTTAAGGATAATTTGTTTCCTTAATCTAAATTTATAATATAATTATGCAAATCATCACTATTGTTTTGAAGATTCCAGTTGCATTTTCCTTGCTTATTGTAATCCTCTCCAGCTATCTTCTTCCAGTAAGTGGTTAAAAATATGAGTACTAGTTTCAGAAATACATTTTATTAAAATACCATTTTCAGAATTGAAAGATACATTACGCAAAACCCAGCAGGGTTATTTTTAAAATTTTTAAAATGGCAAACACAGGTGTATTTATTAGTTTTTCATTAATTCATAATGCAAATAAGAGTGATGTTATTAATCTACAATAGTCTTTTGGTTGAGGTGTTCATAATACAAGTGACCTCATCTGTTGCTTAGCAGAACTGAAACAGTTGTGGGTTCAAGGGTTGCATGTTTATTAAAAAAAAATTAAAAAATTCAAGGTGATACCTCAGATTTCTATAATTGCTATTGAATAGTAAGAAATAGGAGAGATTTGAGGCATTGAAGTGGCCAATTCTCTTGAAATTTTGTTAATGGGAATCTTTTCATTAGTCCATAATTGTTTCTGGGTATCTTTTAGTCCTCTGAAATGGTAGTGTGCTTTACTATTTTTGCACTGTTTTAATGATTTTTTTTTCTATTTATGTGTATGGTTGAGAACAAGCAGTGCAGTTTTTTTTTTTTTTTAATTTCTCCTCAGGACACAACAGGTTTTAACACCCCGCTTCTGAGACCTCGTGTGATTGGAGAATGGATTGGTCGTGAAGAGAATGATGCAGACCCACTAGCTGCTGAGATGCTGCAGCCACCAATACCAAGAAATAAAAATGAGCAGTGGGACAGCGAGGATAGTAGCAGTCCTGGAGGAAGGTGGGATTTTGGTTAGGCCTAGAAATTCTATAATTTGTGAAGCAGAGCTGTCTTTGTAACAACCCATTTCTGAGAGCAGAGTGCAGGGCTTTTAAATTCCCATGCCATAGCGTGACAGCATGCAGGATAAATGGAAGACATTAATATGTGACTGGTTTCTTCTTATGCCTTTATATATAATCAACTTTATACTCATTTGCAATCCCATGCTTTTATTCTCATGTATAAAGCTAAGTACATGCTGACATGATTGGCATCCATTACCTAATAATGTTGTGATGTTTAGCTTCATTCAGATGATTCAAACCCTTCTGTCTTTCAGCAGCTGGTAATAGCTGTTTGTTAATCTTTTTGACACTTCAGTGATAAATCTGTTTTTCCCATTTACAGGAAAGATAGACAAGAAAAACACTATCTATGTTATATTAACGGGACTTCCTAAATTCATCTGCAGTTCCTTACACTTAAGATCTTGGTGTTAATAACAGTTTTTCCTCAAAGAGAAATTTGTTTTCTCTGCTGTAAATAACTTCTGATGATTTATTTTGCCTGACTGAGGGAGGGGGAATATGTTTGTTTGTTAATGTTCTTGAGCTACGTGGAAAGAGATTATCATTTTTACAAGGAGTCCATTTAAAGATACCTGTTTATCACAAAAGGTAAAGTATTCACAGCCTTTCTTTAAAAGGGATATGTGCCTTGTGGGTTTGCTTGTTTGTTTTTTTCCTCAATTGTAAAGCTTGTGCACTGATTCTGTTGATTGGCTTAAACACATAGGGTCCTTCTTTTTTAAGAAGGCAGAAACTTTTTGCTTTCCCTTTGCAGAGGTCTAAGGTATCACCTCACTATGTCTTCCATATGACTTCTATATTGGAATTTGCCTCTCTGTCACAAGAAAACTAGTCTGTCACTTGCTGTACTCTAACAGGCTGCATTCATTAACTTTCCTCACATATTGGGAATGTTTGTTATCCATGAGTATTTCTGTGTTCTTTTAATTAGATTATTGTGTGAGAAGCTGCAAGTTCTACTATTTCAAAGAAGTAGCAGTGTGTAGTAATGATCCCTCAGCCAGACATTGGACTGGAATCAACAGAACTCAGACACTGGTTCCCTCCAGTGCAGTTCCTGGGAAAGTAATGGAGTCAGCAACTGGCACTGCAGCTTGACTTTGAGGGCCTGGGTTTCTTTTTCCTTATTCACCAGTCCAATAAAGATCTGCTCCATACTGCAGAGCAAACTTAGGGTATTGTATCCCTTCTCTCAGTAAGGAGCAGAAATAAGCATCTCTGTCTAATGTCTAGAAGAGAGAAAAGTTTAGTTCTGAGTAACAAAGATGATTCAAAGCAGCACATTTGTCTCTTTGTGGAGGGTGGTACAAGCTATGAGAAACATTACAACTAATGCTATAATTAAAAAATGTGATTAATAGTTTGAGAATAGTATTTGAGAAGTCTTGTTGAGTACCATGACAAAACTACATTTCCTGATATATAAAATAATGAGAATATGAGGTACTTGATGCTAGGAAAAACTCAGGGGACATTGGTATCTCTAGTTTTCAGGTGCTGAAGACCTGTTGAAAAACATGTATCATTAAGTGGGAATACTGATTTTCAGTGGAAGTGAGTTACTACTGAATTACATGCAGCATATGGATTTACATTTGGATAACTGATTTTATATCTGGAATAATTCTCTGCCTTATTAGCATTTCATCATTTTTTCTAAGGCATTTATAAAAAGCATGTTTGCAGTCTTGCAAAATAATAATAAAATGGCAGATCTTCAAGATAGTGGTAATACTAAAGTTGATGACAGCTATATATGGAAGTTTAAAATACCTGTATTGATCAAGATTAATCTGAATGATTAATAATAGTTCACTAATAACAGGCAGTTTCTTTAAGTTCTTACTCAGTAGTACTGGGAATTAAAGTACTATTAGCAGAATTTGGAATTGACTGCACACCAGATGCATTTGACAACAGGTAATAATAATTTAGTTTTAATGTAGCATGTGCCTAGTACATGCTAAAATAGTGGAAATAGTATGAATTTCATGAGATTAAGTGAAACTCTTGAAAGAGTGAAGTTGTTATCAGTTGTAAAGAATTTTTGACTACCTCATCTGTATTTCATTTGTCTACTCCACAGTTAATGTAGCCTAAAATGAATCACTTGCATTTTTACCTGGCAACTGACAGCAGTAGAAATTTGAAATTCACATTAAATGTTTTTAATTATATCTTGTTATATTTGATTTAGCAACACTTTCAATAAAAAGTGATAGCTTATTGATCACTAATTATCAGGGTTTATGTTATAAGCCAGCAAACTCTCAAAACTAATGCTAATTAGTTACATCATAATCATGCTATTTCAGTTACGTCATAAGAACATGAAAATGAAAACTGTAATTATTCATTTATTTCTAGGTAATATGTTTTCTTTTACCTATAACTAAACATAAGGAAATAGTACATAAATGAGATATTATATAAATATCTAGAGGATAAAACATAGGCAAGTCACTTATAGAGTAATTGCCATCAGTGTCATGTGACTCCCTCTATGTTTTTTTGACAGCCCATGGTATACAAATTTTTTTTCTGTTTAGTGGAAGGGGAAGCCTGGGATACTTACACATTCTTAGCATCTTATAGGGGACTGAATAGACTGCAGACAATGACATATTCCTGTGGACCACTGGTCTGTTGATAACATGCCTGGTTTCAATATTGATCTTTACAGCATAAAGCAGATCATAGTGAGTGTATGTAATACATGATATTTGGGAATCTGTGAATTGTCTGCTTTTTCTGTCTTTGAAGCTATGAACCTCACTTTTTTTCCTCAATTCAGTAGTGGACAATGGGAAAGAACCACTATTTCCTCCTTAAAAACATATATTCCTCTGGTGATAAGCAATAGAAGCACACATGTTGTATATCTGAAAGCCAGGCCCAGTTACTTAGAAAAAGAAGGGAAGTTAATTTTGAGCAACTGAAAGGACAGGTTTCACTACTACTTTGACTGGAAAAGATAATGTAGTTGATCTGAGGTAGCTGTATTAGTAATGTCTTTTCAAACTGATGAAGGGTCACCTTTTTGCCCTTGATGTTCTGTAATGCTACAGAGGAAAGACTGTATTTGTCAATGATGTTGTACTACTCTCTGTTGCTGCTGTAAAGGATCAAGGCAAGGTACTAATATGTGATAAAGGACACATAAATGTGCTGGTGGCAATCCTCCTGATACTGAGCTCATCCTTCAGAAATTCGAACACCATGAAAATAGGATTAAAATCATTTCCATGTCATTGTTAGTAGTTACTACATGAAAGAGAAATTCTGAGAAGAAGCAAGGCTCTTGGGAATCTCCCTCAAGGGATAATATATGTACACAGTGGGGAATTTGAGTGATTTTTAATATGATGCTCTTGTTTCCTAGAGCTTGCAATGAACTTGAGCTCTCAGAGGCTGCTTATCCATAGCTGATGTCTTAAACTCAAAGCTTGTTCTTCATCTCCAAGGTCCACTTTGTCCACTTTGTTCATCTTTGCAGTGGGAAATGAGCTATCATTGATTATAGTAAATTTCATACATTTGCAACAGATCTGAATTCTTGCAACAGACTCTAAGACAGTCTGAGGTGTTGCTAATGCCCTCATATGGGGCACCAAACTTCTACCCTGTTGTCTTTATCTCGATATTGCAAGGAACAAGAAATTGCAAGCTGTAGCAAGTCCTACCTTAGCCCATTCTGCTAACTGCTGTGCAGTTCCAGTTGTCTTTTACTGAGGTTAGGGACACAAGTCAACAAACCATGAGAATTGTTATAACTATATAGTCCTCAATCCTGTGATTAGTAATTGAGATACTATTGTTCTGTAAATGTAGCTTATTTAGACTTGATTAATGTCCATCAAGTCAATGGGAAATTCCTATCATCATTCAGTCAAAACTTTAGATAGGACCTGAAAACACAAACTGACTTAGAACATCCAATTATCAGGGAATGAATGGTAGCTAACTGATTTATGTGTGACCTGATGGCATTAACCTTCAGATCTGGAAGACATCATGGGCTACAGTGGTTTGACAAATGTGTGCCATGTTCTGTAGTGAGCACCAGTAAGAGAAAGTTGTGCTTTCCTCCTTCACAGCTTAAAAATGGAGCCAAAAACGAAAGGACTAAAACAACAACAGCAGCAACATAAGAAACTGCTGGCTGCCATGCTTTCTCAGGACTCCTTTGATTCTGCTCAAAGTACAGCTCCATCTGTAACAGAGGAAGATATTGACAATGAAGATGATGCAATGGAACTGCTGGGTAACTGCAAAAAATTATGTGTATTTACTGATACTTTTTTTTTGTTATAGCTTAATCTAAAAAGTGTAATATCTGATCAAACATAGATTAGTTTGAAACTGCTACCTGTGTTTGAAGATAAAGTATCCAGCAACTGTGTGAATGTTTGTGGTATTTAACTTACAACTTTCAGGAGTGAATGTAATTAAGAACATATATACATGTGAATAAACTGCTAGCTGCATCAAAATCCCATGAAATATTAAACGCTTCAGGTGCTTACAATAATTAATTTCATTTCCTACATAAATCACTTGCAGGTTCTACCTGGAAAATGTACAAGGAGCAGAATCAGCTTCACTGGCTTTCATATGGTTCTTTTTCTAAGCTGTATCACCATTCTAATTTCAGTAGGTTTTAGTTCAGACTTGCTAGATACAAATAGCTTATGCAATCTAGAGGTTTTGATTGTAATTTTCCAGTAGACCGTATTGTATGTTAAACTGCACTCTGGAAGTCTCTATGCTCACTGCTTTCTCCCCTTCCTAGAATTACTAGTTGTGTGAAGAAAGTTAATAGTCTCTTTTTCTGCCATTTCAGAAACTTCAGTGTAAGCTAGTCATGGATTTAATCTTTCCCCCCCCCCCAGTTTTTGCTATATAGAACTTTGAGTGGGAGCAAAGCATGGGAAATATGCAATCTCAGGATAGCTCAATATTCTTGCATTTATGAATGCTATCACAAATTATGAACGCTATCACAAATTATTTGTTTCAGACTGGAACTTAATCTAAAAATCAGAAAAGCATATGGTGCTCTACTCTGTTTCTGTAATATTTCAGTTGCTTCCTTTGATGCATGCATTTGTTTTTACAAGAAAGAAGAGATAATGGGCTGAGTTGCTCAGATGTCACAGTGGGTTAATTAGTTCTCTGCATTTGAAAGAAATCACAGTGTTTGTGACTGTTGGGTTGCAGTTCTTGTGGAATCAGTTGGTATTTTCAGAACTAACCCATGGATTCCAGGAAGGCCGTAATTAGTCTGTAGCTGCATTACCTCCTTATTTCCTCCTACAATTTACAGATCTTTCAAACTTTATCAATGTGACATAAAAGAAAGCTGAATGGGTTTCTTATACTGGCATAAACCACAGGACTCCTCTAGGATTCTGTGGCATCTGGAAGGTACAGTAGGTAAGTGTGTGTGTGTGTGATGTTAATGGCCTCATTATGCGTCACATTAAGAATAGTCTCTTTTGTTAACTTCTGTGGAGATACTGAGGTGTCCAATAGATGTGTAGGTCTTACTTTCCAGACATTTGAATCCCCTCAAGGTACTGGGAACCAGAAAGACAGTATAAAGGAGATTTTGTTTTCTGGGCTCCTGATGTTTGAACAGAATGTTATCTGTGTATGAACAAGTGTTTTGTTTTGTTTTTTGTTTTTTTTAAATAAGGTCTTGATTATATGAATCTGTTCTGGTTTTGTGCCAAACCGGGAACATTTTTCTATAATACATCTTATGAAAACTGTCAAAGATTAAACAAAATCAACTGAAAACTCGGAAAGATCACAAACAGGACCCCCTTTTTTTTGTAGGGTGTTAGTTACATAAGTGATTCTGAGATGGTGAAGCAAAATTATGGAATAATAGTAGCCATGGTTATAGTGATTATAATGTAGCCTTGTTACAGTAACTACTGCTGATTAAAGTTCAAGATGCGTATCTTGGTGCTGAAAGTGCTGTGCTTCTGAAAGACTGGCTTTTATTTTAATTCTCATTTTGCAATTTGATGACAATGTGTTTGATGTTACAGTGAGGTTACATCCTGCGAAATGGCTCAAAACTTAGGATATGACAGAGTGTTGCTGAGAAAGGGTGTTTTATTTTCTCTTGAAGGTAGCATCAAGAACCCAAGTTTCTATTAGCAAACATAGATATTTTTCATTGCTATATTTTCCAGATCAGTAACTGTATGATACTGGGATTGATTTTTGTCTTATGTACTGCTTTAATTCATTAACTCCTTCAATGCTTTTTACACTGCTTATTTGCACTATAACTAATTTCAAATCATGACTTTCTATGATCACTGAATTGCAGGTCATTGTTGCGTGGAGCTACTTGTTGTTCCTTTTAGAGCTCAGTATTGATTGCTTATTCAGCCTTTTCTTAAAAAAATGACAAAACCTCATATTTCTAAGTCTGGATTCTGGAAAAAGAAAATCTACTGTTTATAGCAGGTGATTTTAACGTGTACCCTACTTACAATGCAGGTTTTTGCAGAACACAAACTTCCATCTTTATGTGTGTTCAAAAGAATCTTTTTCATAGTTTGATTGATTTATTTAGGTATTAAAAGCATGAAACTAACTGTTGGTTTGATTTCTTTTCTTAAAACCCCTGCTAGTACTCACATCAGAATTGTCAATGTAGTTTTAGCTAGAGTGAAACATTCTAAATAGAAGAAACAATTAAGCTGTTATTCCTCTGAGGAATCAATTTCAGAAGAAATATGTGTAAAGATGAAAACTAATTTTATGGGGCTATGTTTGGATTTAACTTATCACTCTTTGCATGTAACATAAGATGCATAGGAGGGCTATTAACAAACTGGTAACTTATAAGGGTGTTTAGTTGTGCAGGTGGCTGAAATTCTGGCAGAGAATATCATAGTGGAAAGGATCTTCCTGGTCTGAAAAAGCTGAGAACAGTAACTGTAAAATCACATGTATTGTAAATGTAAAAGAGTGATGCAGTTGAGGTCTGTGATTGAAAATGATAACAAGAGACTTGTTTTGTATACATCATGACACCAAGTATTGTGTTTTGTAAATCTAATCAGCTGAAGTAGTTTGTTGTGAAACTTTGCAATCATTTTGAAAGTCCATGACGTTTGGGCTTAAGCAGTCTTTTGCATTTGGCTAAGTAAGTCCACTGAGACTTTGAAATCGTGTTGTTCCCTATTCCCTCAGTATCTCAGTGATGTCCACTGAAGAGGACTGAACTATATTTTCCCTGAAATTGCTGAGAATATTGCTTGAACAGTCACCAAAGCATGATTCATTTGTTTTTAAAAAATCAGCTGTTTGATTAAGAATCTCATTGTTTAAATATATTCCTATACGTAAACTTACACATAGTAAAAGCATACTTTTTTTTTTATGGCGCACTTGGACCTACATATACATCCGTGAGCAGTAAGGAAGATAAGTAAGGAAGATGAAAAAGAAATTCTGCATTATTTTACACAGTGTTGGTATAGAGAACAATTCCCCTGAGAAGTGGCTGAGGGAACTGGGAGTTGTTTAATCTGGAGAAAAGGAGGTTCAGAGAGACCGTATTGCTCTCTACAACTACCTGAAAGGAGGTTGTAGTGGGGTAGAATTTGGTCTCTACCCCAAGTAACAGGTGACAGGACAAGAAATGGCCTTCAGCTGCATCAGGAGAGGTTTGCATTGGAAAGTTTCTTCACTGCGAGGTCAGCATTGTCAAGCACTGGAACAGGCTGCCCAGAGAGGTTGAATCATCATCCCTGGAGGTATTTAAAAGATGTGTGATGCTTGGGGACATGGATTAGTGGTGGACTTCTGTAAGCGTAAGGTTAAGGGTTGGACTCGATGATCTTAAGGGTCTTTTCCAACCTAAATGATTCTATGTATGATGCTTAGTCATAATGCTCAATCACCTCTTGTTGTCCAATCTTTATACCTGCTTGCAGTATGTTAACATGTTAATATATGCTAAGCAATAGTTATCTGTTAAGCTATAACTTTTTTACTGCAAAGATAGATGTACCCAGGAAGCTCACATGGGTGTGGTTGAAGTGAAATGTGGTGATAATTAAAGTCCATTTCCTGCAATTGATGCATGTGCCAGTCTGTATGTTTCTGAAAAGCCTTCATGATTTCAATGAAAATAATCGTGTATTTGAACTAAAGTGTTTGCAGCATCAGGACTTGTAAAACCCTATCTTGTTTTCTTCAGAGGTGGTTTCACAGTAATAGTGTTTGTTTTTCTCAATGTAGAACTCTGAAGTGAATTGTCTGCCTCATTTATTGTGTGTAATAACTTGCTATGCAGAACAAACCAGAATCCTTAAAGAAAAAATGCACTTTAAGTAATAATATACTTTTTAATTATTGTTTTGGGAAATACCTGACATCTTCTGTTTGCTTTATTGACTCTTCTTCTAATCTTCAGAATTTCTTTTTTTCTGCAAGATTTTTACAAATGTTAATTACTTAATCATTGTAACACCCATGAAAGATTGGCCAGTGATATATTTATATTTTATAGCAGAGGAGATAAACAGTTTAGTGGATGTTGCCTTTGCCTGTAGGCTGAGACAATAATTCAGTGTCTGCTAGTCTACCCCTTATATAGTCTACATTGCTTTTCTTATAAGTATCCAAGTGCTTTAATGAAACGATGGCCAATCTGCGGTGCTTCCAGTATATTTCCTCTGATTCAGCAGACATTCATGATTTCCCTATTTCCTAGAGTTCTTTGGCAACATGCAGGAAACAGACTCTAGACCTGATAAATTATTCTAGTATTAGCAACAGGTTGTCCTCTTCATTGTGTCTCCCAGCTGGGCAAAAACTTCTTCTCCATTATGTTATTAGAATACATCATTTGCCAGAAGAGAGGCCACGAGACCATGTGAAAGATGATATGTGTGTTGTACTACATCTTGAGAACAGTTCTCTGTCCCACAGCGTTTTTTGGTGGAGTTTTTATAGAATGCTTGTGTGGGAGAAACTCTGTGAATTGCTCATTATGCCCACTTTTGCTGACTCTTCTATTTTCAAAGCTATTTGGAAAACAGCAATATTTCCAGTGAGCGTCTGCTGTGTAATGCGTGCACAGAAGCTGACATAACTAGGAGAGCGTAGGCCTCTTCTGCATGCAGAAACTGGCTCTGCTCTACATCGCAAAATTTTCTGCAGCAGATGTAATGTGGTGGTGCAAGTGTGTGCTAAAGATAACCATTAGAATGGCACTTGCACTCCATCAGG